TGTAAACGTTTCGGAGTGATAAGGACGATTTAAAACGTCTCTCCTAAATAAAGATCTAAATTCGCCTTATTCGGTGAATAGATCAAGATGGTAAGGACCGTAGCGGAAACGTAAACGCGAATGGAACAGACACCAACCCCCGTGATCAGCAAATACCAGTTGTGGAAGCCGCTGCCGGACCAATAACGATGGCCGGAGTGCAAGCGATGATCAGGCAATGTTGGATCGTCAAATGGAGGAACCAGGCGTTTGCTCCAGCAAAATCGAGAGGAAGCGACTATTCAGATCGAACAGCCCGAGTTGAACGAAGGGCAGACTGAAGAGGAAACTACAGTGGGACTTTGGTCAAGCCAACCCACCGATAGTTAGGCAAAACCACCAGGACGGAGGAAATGATGGACGTGGATGCAAATACAAGGATTTCATGGCATCCCAAGCCACCGAGTTTATCCGGAAGCCCGACGCCGGTGGAAGTCATGAACTGGATCTCTGAGATGGAGATAATGTTTGAGAGTTGCAGTGTAGCAATAGGCAGAAGACTGCTCTTGCAGTTCCTCTATTAAATCTGGAGTACTAAGTTGGTGGAAGCTATTAGCTGATTCAATGCCCAAAGGTGAAGCAAGCAAAATGTCGTGGGAGGATTTCCTGGTACAGTTGAAGATGCAATACTGCTCTGAGCAGGATCTTCTGGAGATCACAACGAATTCCAGAGTCTGAAGAAGGGAAGAATGAGCGTTACTGAATACGCTGCAAGCTTTACTGAGAAAATGAGCTTGTTCTCACCTCGTCCCAACTGAACTCTCCAAGGTTAACAAATTTGCCCTCGGATTACCAGCGGACTTCGGTCCAATGGTCAAGCAAACTACCACTCTGAAAGCTGCCATCTGGGCTGCTAAGAATGTGGAGACCCAGATACGAGAAAAGGGTCTGGAGAGAGCGGAAGTGGGAGAGAAACGGAAATTTGACGGATCCTCGAGGTCCGGTAAGAAAGGAAGATTCTCGAAGTCTGGTTCGAGAGGAGGAGGATCAGAAGCAAAGTGGTGTGACAAGTGCAAGAAGAAGCACTTTGGGAAGTGTGATGGAGGAGTCACTTGTTACAAATGTGGAAAGCCTGGGCACTATGCCAATGAATGCACCCTCAACCAGAAGGCCTGTTATGGGTGTAATGAAGAAGGGCACATTTTGAAGGACTGCCCGAAGAAGAAGGAGGCAGGAAGACCCAACATACCACCGAAGCCGAAGGCGAGAGCCTTCCAGATGACGCTCGAGGCTGCAAAGGAGGCAGCAGACGTCGCTTTAGGTACCTTTCTTGTAATTCATAATAAGGGATAAACTATCATCGCATGAATACGTAGCCATAACATCGCCTGGACTCGTAATTCATCACCTTTCTATCATCACCTAATTATCATCACCATTATATCCTCACCTTTCTCTTATCACGTTCTTTCAACACACATCAACTATTTCATCTACCTATGTTCTACCCAACATATTTGTAGATATAAATTACATATACAACTTATTTAAAAACTCGTATAAAACATTCATTCAACATCCATCTCAAGTAAACAAACAATGTATAAACACATAGCATGTATTTCATAGCAAATACTTCATATCTATGTGTAAGATGAAAGTGACTATACACTCACACATATAAACAACTTTATATTATACACATAACACGTATTTCGTATAAAATACTTCATAATTATGCATTAGAAGAAACTAACTACACACTCACTTGATTAGAAGATGATCGGACAACACTACGACTTGTAGAAGTAGTATTCTTCGGTAGATCTGGAAGATCTTCACAAAAACCGGACTTCTCGCGGACAGAGCTTCGGCTCGGGAATTGCACTTCTCGGGATCTTCGGGGCCTCGGGACTTGCTTCGGGGCTCGGGAATGATACCGGGGATTCGGGATAATTCTTGCACGAAAAACGATGCAAAAACGCGAGAGAAAGGGAAGAAATGAGCAAAGAACTCGGCTGCCCTCGACACCCTTTTATAGGGGGCTGGAAACCCAAATTACGCTGGGCGTAATTCTAAATTACACTGGGCGTAATGTGGATCAGATCGCTGACTCCCCCCATGGATAATATTGGTTAATTTATAATTAAATTAAATATCGAAAATATTTAATAAACTTCAAAAATTCATATCTTCCTCATACGAACTCCGTTTTCGACGTTCTTTATATGTACGGAATCCTTGTAACATATACTACAACTTAGTTAAGATTATTCATTCTAAATAATCTTTCATCAAAAATTCATTTTTGATGCCTATCGTCTCTACATTGACTAGCCCTGATCTACGAGCGTTACAAATAACCACATATAGCATTCAATTATCTAAACATTATATATATATATATATATATATATATATATATATATATATATATAAGATGAAAGTAACTATACACTCACTTGATCAAAGTGGATGCCATGGAATATGGGTATGACTCCGCCTTGGTACTTTAGCTTTTCCTTTGACATGACCAAGGTTCACATTACTAAGTCTTAGAGGGTGTTTTCAAAGCTTAAAAAAGGAGCTTCTTGGCCCATTATCGGTTCCACACCGGTATAATTCAAAAATAGTGTTTGGGTAATAGTTTTCTAAAAAAAAAAACAACGTATAGCTGTTTGGAACCTCTAATAATTCATTTTTTGATAAGTCACTTACCCCTTACTTATCAAAAACTCCTTATTTCACCATTCAAAAAAATTGACAAATATACTCCTTAACCAAAACCTACATCGACACAAAAACATACACTATAAGTTAATAAGCTTATAGAATTTTGACACCGGATAAGCTTAACCAAACACATTTTTAAAAACTCTGTTTGGATACTGCTATAAGTTAATAAGCTATAAGGTGAAAAGATAAAAACTATTTTAAATAAGTTTTTCCAAACACCCTCTTTGTCTTATATTCATGGTGACTAATGATAGTCTAGATTCCTCACTAATCCCAATGTTTACATCAAGATCTATCAAGTAAGGAACAACTAGGTAGGATCGTATTGGAGGTATGGTTCGTTTGCTATATAAAGTATACTTTTTGGAAATTCCACTTTAAACACCTCACTAAATCCAACCTACACATCATCTGCGTAAGTAGATCAATCAATATAATAAAATGGAATCACTGATAAATCTTAATTATAGGTTCATAATAACGAATATAACTATAATCATAAGTTACAATAAAAGCGATATAAGTGTAGATTAACTTATAGAGATTCTCCTGTCAGAAGTCCAAAAACTGCACTTGCAAAGATTCTACTCGAAAGCTACTATTGGTCGGGCCTCAAGGACCTAACGGCTTCGCTGAAATACTAAAAACTAAGGAAAAATGGGGCTAAGGCATAGAAAAATCAAGAGAGAAAGGTTGTAGGGTTTAGGAGATCGAATGAGAGATTGATTGTTATTTATAGGGCGGAAATTTTATTTACACGTTGCATACTTTGTTGGACCGAGTGACGTGGCGATTCTTGAGTGGTGACACGTGTCGTAATTTGGGTGAGGTGTCACATGCGCGCCGCGCATCTTGTCTGTGCGCGCGACTGCACCTTTAAAAATTCATATATTCTTCGTATGAGCTCCGTTTTCGACGTAGTTTATATCCACACGTAGCTATTGACGATATCTACAACTTTTATTTAGAGGTCGTTTGATAGTGGATAACTGGGTCAGAGCTAACTCGGTTAGAAGCCGACTGGTTTAAAACTTCTGACTGGAACTTGCTGTTTGATTTTGCATCCGACTGACTGTGCAAAATGACTATTTTACCCTCAAAGGACATTTTTATAAAAACTCATTGATTAGTGTAATGTAAGTAGAATCTTGTAAATTGACTGTTGGAACTTTTTGGATTTAAATTAAAAGTAGAATTCTGTAAAATGAAAATGAAATATAGTAAATTGTTATCACATTAAAGTTATTAATAGTGGTTAATGTTGTAAAATGAAAGTAAAATAATATAACTTAAAGTGACATACATTTCCATCTACAATGATCTGTAACAAATAGAGTACAAAAGATGGACTGGATTGGGTTAAAAGTAGATGATAATAACTCATAACGTTACTCTTCTCTTCATTCACAGATACAATCTTGTTCTCCTATTCCAAAGAAGATGATGATACCTTGAAATTGACTTGAGCCCAACTTGTTCCAAACAAGAATCATATCGGAGTGTGATGATTCTTTAGTGATGATACCTTAGAAACAATTGGAAAAATCGAGCAAAAATGGAAACCATTGCAAAAATCAAGTTGTTAAAGAATCGAAAATCAGAAAACAAGTGTATAACTATAGCAATTAGCAAAATCAGAAAGAATATTGTATATAATCACTATTGTAAGTGTGTATCAATATCAAAAATCGAAATCAACACTAATTTTAGGAATAAAAAAAAAAGAAGCTAAAAAACAACTCCCTTGGTAATCGACATCAGGGGATTCAACCAACTAATCCAAAATAGATTTTGTAGGAGTGACTATCAGTGCAAAAATCAAAAAATAAAGAACAAATTACATATCAATTGAGAGAGGGAGAGACATAAACATTACTCATATGTAGGAATTGCTAAGAAGGAGAAAAAATTGAACAACAACAATTCACAACAAAAATCGCACAACAAAGAGGAACAAAAATCGAAAAGCAAAGAAATTACTAAAAATTCATACATTCATTCATCAGAAACCATTTAGTGATTTAGTGAAATTGATTTCAAAAACGATTTCACGAAATCGATTTCAAAAATGATTTCATGAATCGATTAAAGAGGAAGATTAAAAACATCAAAGCTTATCAGCTATGGAAGAAGTCCTTGATGGGAAGAATCATGGTGAAGAGGCGTCGATAATGGAAGAAGGGAGGAAAAAATTTGGTGAAGACTGGTGAAGACAGAATGGGGAGAAGGAGAAATGGTGGGTATGGTCGTTTACGTCTTCATGATGTAGCGTACATCCGGGAAAAGTAGGGAATTGTTTCAGTCAGCTTCTTTTTACCATGGATCGAAACAGACAATTTCTTAGGACCCAACCAGACAATTGGATTGGGTCAGACGAGATTAGCCCTTTACCAAACAGGATGGTCGGACCGAGTCAGTAAAAAGTGCTAACTAGACCCATTCAGCTGCATATCAAAAGGCCCTTAGACTTTGATGGCTAATTTTGTATCTATTTTTAAAGTTATATTTTTAACAAACTTAGACTGTTAAAGTCCGTATAAAAATTATAACTCTTTCGTACGACATCCGTTCTCGACTGTCTTTATATCGACTGACTCCTATTAATGAGATCTTAGATTCCCGTTTGGATTGTTTTTCATAGCAATCAACCGATTTCCATTTCAGTTTCTATGTCGTACCAAGCTATGTTGTAACTTCTAAAAATCATAATATCCTCTCACGAAGTCAGATTTGGACGGTCTTTATATGCACACTCTCGACTTTATGATTACTATGACTTTTGTTTAGATTACTTAGGCTAAAAAGTAATTCATCAAAAATTCACTTTTTACGATTCACAAAGTCGTGTCGGTTTAATCGCGATACTTCGAAGAAGCATAACTTCTTCATACGTAGTTGGGTTTTAGCGTTCTTTAAATGTACGAAATCTTCATCACATATACAATAACTTTGAAAAAGATTATTTATCCTAAATAATCTTCTATTAAAAAGTCACTTTTAATGCTTATAATATGTTAACTGACTAGTCCGAATCTGCAGGTGTTATAATTATCTTTCTCTTAAGATGATTATGTCCCAGAGTTATCAACAAACAGGGCTTGTATAATGACTTCACATGTTAACTTTCCATCATAGGTAATAATCATTACTCTTATGTTCGTTGGAGACTCCCGCTCCTTAAACAGACTTAGTTCACAATAAGGTCCTTACTTCAACTACCGTAACGGACAGATGGATCATGTTTTAATGACCTCTCGGTGTACGAGGCAATGGCTAGACTTAGACCTCTTTGAGTCGGACTGCATAATGGAAAATGAATGTTTCTTTAAATAAAACATAAAAATACAAAAAAAATCCCGTACATGTATCCATGAAAGGAAACTGGGAGAGCCAAATTAATTCTCATCTGACACTTATGGAATCATATTTATCCTAATTGATACTTAACAAATCATATTAATTCAACTAGATACTTGTCAAAGTTACATAAATGCTAATTATGGAAAAATAAAGTTAATTATTTTCCATCGGATAACGTAATCTTGTATGTGTTTAAAACGATCCATAATTATGATCCAATTCAGAGTTGCGAGCTTATAAAATCATAAATTAGTAATATCAGCATTTTAATAAGAGCGTAAATTCTCAGACGCTAACACTTCACAATTCAATTTATGTCCATTGCGATCACAAGGAGAGAATCTATGTTATGCCTATAGGTGTCCATGGACAACCGCTAGTTTGAAAAAATTTATACATGTAATAATATAATTTCATTTGGACACCCTTGAAACTTTAGGATGGACATCCATAAGAATCCCTGAATCAATCAAGACTACTAAAAAAATTATTTACATAAGTTTTATAGATTTGATAAATTATTTTGAACAATAAAATGTATGGAAAAAAGGTAACCGAATTAATAGATTGTTTGTTAACAAAAATATATATTTTAAATAATAGGTATCGATAATGTTTGAATTTTGGTCTGAAATAAATATCATATCATCACACTATACTTATAAAGGAAACATTTTTTTTGTTTCACCACATCAATTTGAAACCCCCAACTTTTCATATTTCCTTATAATATACTTTCTAACTTAAATATGTTATTAATTATTAATATTATCATAAATGGAAGACTTATTGAGTTATGAATAATTTCAATATAAAGTTAAATGCATAATCTAAATTAATATATTAAAAAGACTTAAAAATATAATGTAAAATTTAAAACCTATAGTAAAATGTCAAATAAAAAAAATTAATGTATATTTTTTACAACAATTAAAAGGAAAACATTAAATTCAATAAACGTAAAAGAAGATAAATCTAAAAATAAAATTAACTAAAAGATCTCTAAAAACTATTTTTTATAATAACTGAAATTCAATTAATTTTTTTAAAACTAATTTATAATAATAATAGTTAAAATAACATAAAGTTATAAATTAAATTATATTACATCACAAACAATGTTTGATAATTTTAATAATCATGATGATGAAATTAAAATGTCGTTAATTTTTTTAAAGTTAATAAATCATTACATTAGTTAACTAATATAGATAAGAAATATAATTAATTTTATACACACATCAAACATGAATAGATACCATTAAATAATTTGATTTTAGTAAGTATTATATTATCTATTGTTCAAATTAATTATATTGTTACATTAACTAAATATCTAAATATAATAATAATTATTTTTAATTAATACAAATGACAAAAATACTATCAATGAAATATGATTACTAAAAGATTAATTATATAATTTTATTTCGGGCAAGACAATGGTGTTTGTCTAGTTTTAGATAATAGGTATCGATTATGTGTTAATTTTGATTTGTTAAAAGAGTAAATTACTGAAATCGTCCTTATCGTTTGGCTAAAATTGCATGTTTGGTCCCTAACTTTGTTTTTGCACTCGGATCGTCCATGTGGTTTGATTTTGTTGCATTTTTCGTCTTTTATATACATAAAGTTAGGGACCAAACATGCAATTTTGAACAAACCATAAGGACCAAAAATACAACAAAATCAAATATAGCGATGATCCGAATACAAAAAAAATAATAATAATAATAAAAAAATTAAAGACCAAATATGTAATTTTGACAAAATGATACAAATCTTGTTAAAAGTGTAGAAAAGTAGAAGGAAGGTGTGAAAGTAAAATTTAAAGAGTGGGTGCAAAACCCTAAAAAAAACATAAATTATAAATTCTTAATATTTCAAGCTTCATGTCGTCGTTGTTGCCTCTTCCTATGTCCGACATCCCCTTCCTCTGCGTATTTCCTCCGCTCTCTGCCTCCCTCGTCGGCTCCTCCGTCATATGCGGCTGATCAGCTTTGTCCCTCAGTCCTCTCATCTCGATCTTCGTCTCCAAAACCGTCGTTCTTGATGGCACTGGTAAGGACTACTCCTCGGTTCCTATCTTCTTCTTCATTGTGCTAATGGAAGTATGGAAGTATATTGTACAAAAGAAAACCCAAATGAGAGTGTTGGCACTTGACACATAGTTTCAACTTTCAATATATCTTTACTGTATTTTAGGTGGCTCTGAGGATTTGACTTTAGTTATCCCCATAGGAAAATAATCATACCCAACCTAGTTAAGAATTTACATAATATACTAGGGGTCAAATATGTTATAGGTATAAACGAGTGTTCTTATGAATAATTTCATATATGCAACTTTATTTCAAATTAAACACATTTTGATCAAATATTATAAATGATGTAAACATTTGCATCTCTAAATAACATTAACATATTGCTCAAAATTTCATCGTCAATATGTATATGATACTTAAGATTATAAATTAGACAGTGTTTATGCAGCATTATGAAAACATAACGATATTTGTCACATGCATGTAAAAATAATATTAAAGGATTACTTATTTTTCATGTAATAATGTTATAGTCCTTACGAATAAATACTCAATGAATAAATTATACTCAACGCATTTGAACGATTCTGCATTGCAGGTGCTCTTGGAGATATTGATATATGATGCTTGATTGTCAAACCAGTTAGAGTAAGTTTTGTCTTATAGAACTTAAACTATAGGAAGTTATGAGATGTATTACAACAGATTACGCAAATTATAGAATTTGATCTGTTTGATCTTGTTCGGAACTAGTTTTTCATGTTGGAGCTTTACTTGCCTAGACTGTTAATTTAGGTTTAGCATGTCCTGATTTTGCATTAATTAGTCTATTTCATTGCAGCTTTTGGAGCCAAAATAATGCATAATGTTAGATCCACAAAAGAATGATGCAATGTGTCTATAATTGAAAATTAATCTCCAAGGAGGTAGAATGGATTTTGGGCATGAGAAAGTTACAATGAATGTAGAAGATCAGGATAGACTAAGCAGCTTGCCAGATGATCTTATCCATATGATCCTCTCTTTCATTAGACTCAAACAGGCTATTAGAACGTGTGTTCTGTCATCTAGATGCAGGTCTATCTGGAAGTCAATGCCCTACCTCAATTTCTCAAACGATATAACTTTGTTTCACATGTTCTTAATTTCTAACCGCAATACTAAAATGCAACTGTCTTCAGTCAATCTCGGTCATTGCAAAGCTGTTACCAATGAGTCTGTCGAAAGAATTCTTGACTACACATTCTCTCACAATATCCAACAACTCACTATTATTACAGGCAGCTATGAGAGGAGTTTTTACATTCGATATGCTCTTTCTTCCTTTAAGGCAACACCAACTTCGTGCCTCCCAGCATTAACGGCATTGCATCTTTATTATATGAGACTCTCTGATGATAACATCAGTACTGGTCTTTTATCCAAATGCCCCAACTTGAAGAATCTCTCCTTAGGAGGTGACACAATTACGGGAACAAATGTTTTGAATATCTGTCATCCCCGACTTTCTAATCTCACACTTGAACATATATGCGGGTGGATGTTGGCGACTTTCAATGTGGTTGTTCCTCAACTTAAGTATCTCACTATTAGAAATGGCTTTGAGAGGCTTCTGATGATTTCTGCACCTGAGCTTACCTTCTTGGTGATGAAAGATTATCGTCCTATGCAGCTTTCTACAAAAGGTTTCCCATCTTTGGAAAAGGTGGATCTTTGTTTTTCCTACCTGCGCTTGGCACATGCTAATAAGTTAGTTTGTCTGCTTCAACAGCTTCACAATGTCAAATTTCTTACACTTAACTTGAAGATTCTCGAGGTATTAGTCCTTGATGTTGTTTATCATGTGCATCTTACTAACAATCATCTGAATTATGGGAATACTCTTGTACAAAAAAAAAAAAAAAACATTAAAACAAAACAAGATTACACACTAATCTTCTTTTGTATTTTGTGTAGATTCTTTCTTCATCCATGGAACCAATCTCACATCAACCTTCTCCATTTGCTAACTTAAAGATCTTAAAGCTTTTAACGAGTTACCCTATAACGGTATACATGGAGGTGCAACCATACGAGAATGTAACTACATCTACCGAAATAAAATAGAATCTGCAAGATGGTTTTCCAAGTGCCATCATCACAATGATCTCACGTGAGGTATGTACACAATAACTGTATAGGTTAAATGCTAAGTTTATGGAATGGCGTTTCATCTTTTTCTTAGTTTATATATAAGTAAAATGGTTAGTTAAAAAAAAAATGCAAAACCAGCACAAAATATGCAACATAGTATATATGCAAAACCAGGTCTAGTTCATGTTAATGTTTGGATTTTATATATTTAAATACTACACCAATTCTTTTTTAATAAAGCAAATTAGTAGGTTATATGCATTTGAATATATCTTGGACGAGTGTCAATCTATTCGATCAGTTTGGTAGTTTCCACATTTGATTAACTTGTTTTTTTTTTTTTTTTTTAATAAAGAAACTTAGTAGGTTATATGCATTTATATTATAAAATGCATCTATATTGGATATTTATGACAATGATGCCAGACAATGCAGGAGATTAGAGCTATGAGGAATATCACAACAACTTATTCCAGAATTACGGATGCTACTAGAGAAGTGTAAAGCGCTTGGCTATACCACCAAGGCACACACACCAATGTACCAATGGAGAGCTGCAAAGCACAAATTAACAAACAGTGGACCCAATTACCATTGGAAATCCCCTGGCACTTTGGGAAAAAGATGACACAGGTATATGATCAATGGAATATTAAAGGATCACTCGTGGCAAAGCTACAGCGCATTGAAGGACTGCTGACTGGGCTACCTGTGTCCAAGAGTCCAGCGATCCAAGCAATATCTTCTAGTGTGTGTGAACAAGCTGACGATGTCAGAAAAAATATGTTGGTATGTATGAAGATCAGAAATAGTAAGAAGCTAAGGCGCTTTAATGTCTAGAATTTCATGGACATACGTCTGCATTACGTTGTTTCTTTCCCATATACTCTTATATTATAGCTGTAATCAAAATGCCAACCCTAGGTCTTATTATCTTTGTTTTGATTTCTAGTTCTATTTAAGAGGATTTTAGCATATGGTTCCAAAAGATCAAGAATCGACTGAATCGGATTTATGATAAACTATGAACAAACATCTTACCAGAAACATAACTTTTTTGTTTCATATCTTGTGTTGTCATATCCTTAGATTTTATAATAATTTATTCAATATTTTGGGTGTAAATTATTAATATTTTGGCCTTTAATGACACGCAAACGACACACATCGATTTATGATACGTAAAAGTGTATGCCCTAAAAATAATGTCAGCTCTCCCAAAATTTGAAGGATTTAGGGCACGCATTTTTGCATGTCCTAAAATTATCAGAACAAAAAAAATAAGAACATGGAAGGCACCCGAAATAAAAAGCGTGTCGTATAATGATGTCACTTTATAAGTTTTAAAATGAACGCGCGTTTAGACTATTGATCTTTTATCAAAAAATCACAGGGACCATTTTCTAGGGTTTTATCAATGAGGTCTCTCTACCACGTTTCGCAACATCAACTCTCCTCATGAAGGTGACCTTCAACAACATTCTCTACCTCCAATCACCTCCTATCGGCGACCTTGACTTATCTTTTTGTGCCGGAGACCTTGGGTTCACCTCACATCCCTTCACCAATACCAGCAACGAATAGTTCAGTCCTAAAAGCTTGATGACGAACCCTAGGTCCGATTTCACTAAGGTATTAAAACTATGCTTCTAACCTTCCATATTTCTTCAATTGTTCAACAAATGACACCTATCAAGTAATCTATCTCATACTTGTCACATAAGAACGACAACGAATCTTTCTCCGTCGGTACATCAGATATCGACTCCTCTGGCTCACCGGTCCACTTCCCTTCTACCCTATTCCATCTCTCGAGTTTATCATCTCAATCAATAAAAAAGGCTTCTGATTTCCCTGCATCTGCTTCATCTCTGCTGTGATTTCACCTGGTGTTATCGATTTTTCCCTTGTGAAGTATTTATATACATATTTAACTTTGGGGGATTTTGTCATTAATGGTATTCATGGAACTTAAATGGCAGAAAGTAAACATTCCTTTGGTTTATGTTTTGACCTGGACGAAGATGACTTGATTGAATGATTGTTTTTTTGGTAGAGTTTTATCATCATATATATTTTGTTGTAAAATCATATCTCATTTTTGTTGTTGCCTTATTTTATGGTCATCTAGCATGTGTGTATTGTAGGATGTAGAGTATTAGGTATGTCAGCCACGTAACCCATTCTCTTGTGGTATGTTTTTTGTGGGATGATAGAGCAGGGGCACACCAGATGTTCAACATATGGCATATAAACTAATCTTATAAACGTGTGCATGTTTGTGATAGGAAATTCATTTACTTTGTAACATAAACAGGCAAGTGAAAATATGTGTATCCTGATTTAACTCCAACCCATATAGCACCTGCCAAACAGTAACTGAATAAGATCAAGAAAAGGATAAAAAAGAAACTGAAAGGAAACGCCATGAGAAAAAAGAAAGAAATGGAGAGAAACAAGAAAGGGTTCATGGATCGTGCTCAAAGCTTGAGGTTGAGGTCCAACAACACTTGAAATAGGACACAGGTCAAAAGGGTATAACTGTAAATAGCCATAACAACAAGGGAACTGTTGGTGGAAGGTATTTGGATCGAATGAGGGGCAACTTCTTTCCATCTTCAAGAACACTTGGCACTGGTGGTTTCTTTGGGAAAGGGACAAATTCAAATGCTGGAAACACAAGAGAACATAGATCCATTTCTTATTCGGATCATTCCCAAAATACCCCCAACAAGAGAGATTTTGTGCAGAATGATCATGGATTTGGGTAATCAAATCCACATCCAGATGATCATAACCATATTCGTCCTGTAAGTTTTCTTGTTATCCATTTTTTTCTTTAACTCTTAAATTAGACAAATTTAAAACACCATATTTGATTTTTCACTACTTTATTAATATGACATTTATTTTATCTGCGGGCAGTTTTTGAGCCCCAACCTTATCCTCCTCCTAACGCCTTGTTCCCGAGTTTTTTTGTAAATTCATTAAAGGAAATGGAAGGAAAATTTTAACAGAAAGAAAGGGAGGTGAAGGAAAATATTCATTATTCCGTGTTCCAGAGTTCGAAGGAAATGAAAAAAAAAAAAAAAAAAAAAAATTTAAGTTTTTGTGTTCCCAACTCAGGAGGAAAAATAAAATAAAATTTAAAATTTTCCTTCCCCTTACATTCTTCCCAAATCCGCCCAATTTGGGAGGAAAAATTGGAAGGAAAATATGACTCTAAAATACTTCCCCTCCCTTCACTTTCCTTCCATTAATGAAACTCGGAAACACGATTTTCCTTTGACACCCCTCACTTTCCCTCCGTATGCTCTCATTTCTCTCCGTAAGTAGAACTCAGGAACAAGGCGAAATGGAAATGTGCTCAAAGTTATTCATTTTGCTAGGAACAGAGAGTATATTAAAAAACAAAGCTCATGAATTCACAATTGAATGTATATGGTTTTGTTTCAGCCCTAGTCATCATGAAATTTACTTCTAAATTAGTGGATATGTATGTGTATAAAGTAAATACGCTTTCAATTACAACGGGGATGAAACTTGCCATGCGGGGTTCATCAACAGATCTGATTGGGATTTATGAAGAGGGCACACACAACATAGTGGAAATACCTGATTGCAAAGGTCTGAATCTGTATCAGTGTATTGTAACCTATTATATAGTTTTATCTTAACCTTAATGACAAAGATAAAAGAATGCAACAGTTATCAATCAACCTATATTTTGTATGTTTCTATTGTCTATGTATCTTTTTGCAAGTTCCTTCTATACCTATGGTAGTTATTACTATTTTAAACTTTTCAAATATTCCTTAAATTACCATTTGAATTCTTCTTGAGCTAATTATGCAGCATTTTACCCTTTGTCCGTGCAACCCATCATCCAAGCATTAATGCTTCTATGGAGCTTTTGAGAAAATGTTTGTTCTAGAATGTGTGTTTATACACTTTGTATCCAAAAGGTAAAAAGGTTATTAAATTCTCTCTTTCGTCTTCTAAATAAATCTCGGCATAAAGATTCTGAACATCGATCCTTATAATGTGAAATAGCTATGTACTTTGAAAGTATGTTGCCTAATGTTTTCTACATAATAGTTATGTAGGTACATTCTAACCAAGTTACTGTAACTAGGGGTGTTCATTAAACCGCACCAAACTGCATCGCATAATGCAGTTTAAAACATCTGAGGTGTGGTTTGTAGTTTTGTCAAACCGCACTATGCAGTGTTGTTTGCGGTATTGAATTTACAAAATTATGGTTAAACCGCATCACACAACATATTATATATATTATTATCGTAAATACCTAAATCATATTAGAACTATTACATTTTTTTTTATAAATAGTGTATCATTTAGATAAAGAAGTTATAATGTATTTGAGAGTTATTCCGTAAAAGAAAATTATATTCATCCTAAAAAATAAGATTAAATGTTGTAATATAAAAGAGAAGCTGAAAATGTGACAAAAAACCTGATGCGAAAAGTACCGAAAATGATACCCTTGTCAACTCCTGTGGAGTTAACTCAATGCAATAAGGGGCCTTGAATGTGGCCGGATATCTCACTGTTTTTCCACTCAATCTTTGTGCCACCTAACACAAGCCAAGGGGTAAGGATGAAGTTTATGATCAAAAGTTGTTTGAGCATTAATAACATGGAATTTATGAAGTAGTGTAGGGGATGGCTGTTGGATTAAAAGAGGGACATTTTTGGTATTTTTGAATGAAAAATATAAAGTTTGGAGCAAATCAAATTATCTTAATATGGTTAAACTGGCTCATGCAACATAAACCCTTATTAGGGACGGTTCAAGTTAAAAAAAAATATTTTAGGGACCAAACATGTAGATTACCCGAAACCATAGGCACCATTCATGTAATTTACCCTTAAATTTAACTTTTATTATATTTACAATTAAAACATTTAACATACATAACATTCTAACTTGCCTTTTTTGTATCAAGCCACAAAAAATATGAAAAAGGTACGTTGCTATTTAGGGCAAAAAAGAAACTATGTTGCCTTTTTTGCATTAGGTCACAAAGGTCATAAAGAAATAGAAAAAAAAAAGCCACAAAAAATATGAAAAATGTACGTTGCTATTTAGCACAAAAAAGAATCTAAGTCGCCTTTTTTTGGATCAGGTCACAAGGTCACAAAGAAATAGAAAAAAAAAAAAGGAAAGTATGTTTTTATTTAACACAATAAAAGAAGTTATTATTCCTTTTTGCATTAGGTAAAACCAATAGAAAAAAAAAAAAAAGGAAAATACGTTATCATTTAGCACAAAAAAAAACTAACTTGCTTTCTTTGCATCTGAACACAACTAGAAAAACGAAAGTATGATGCTATTTAGCGTGAAAAAAGAAACTAACTTGCCATTTTGCATCAAGTCATAAAAAAAGCATGTCAGTTTGACATTTCAGTACATTGAAATCCACACTCAACATGTTAGTTTGCAAATTCATGTTACATGCGTGGATTAACAAACTGAAAAAGCTGTATGAAACATAAACCAAGACCTCAATTATATAATGTATAAACGGTGAGATTATTCAAAGACTATGTCCATGTCCAAAAATCGCATTTTTCAACCATTAGAAACACAATATAACTTTATTATTTTCATAATGAATTAGCCATATGTAGGATACTAGTAGCAAGGTTCAATTAAGCACCTTCGAGAATGACAGTTGTGAGACTGAACTGGAATTATCAATTTGGAACACAATAAGGTTGCTTGGTCTTACACTTGTTCGATTAATTTTTTGGGTTTAATGTTAATTTAATAAATATAAAAAAGAGGACCTTTTCACTCTTGGATTGAAATTGCGTTCTCATATAAAAAAATTACCAAATAGTAGATTTGTCATTGTACAATGCTATATGGGAACAAATGAAAGAAAGATGCTATAGAAGAAAGTAAAATCAATTGTTTTTACTTCAATCAAACCGTCCCTAGTTAAAACTAAATTTGAACTCTCCAAACTCATTAGTTAATTAGTTGTCCAGACATGTATAATAATTAAAAGATATTAATTCCCTTTGTCAAAATTCACAACAAAGATTGTTGAAATTGTTGCTTTTAGTATCCATAAGCTATATAATGCTATCAAAGTCACACAGATCGTAAGTGATACTTCAAAATTATATCGATCCTAATTGATATTTACCATATCCACGTTAATCCAACTTGATATTTTTAAGGGCTAATTATGCTAACATAATCTTACAGTATTGATGAGATAATCACAGTGTAAAACACAATATATAGATTCAAATTAATTGGTTAAAAAAATTACTAACTTGTCATTGGATCAAGTAAGTGTTACAATTTTATTTTATTTATATTAATTATATATAGGGAAATCTACAACAACAAAAAAAAAAAAAAAAAATGTTCTTATGTTTAGGGTTCATAATCGATTTAGTCAATTAAATCCCAAAAACTGGAAAATGTATTCATTTTGACTGTTTTACTCGGTCAACAGATCATCCAACTTTCAAAAATTATACTTATGGTACAGATTTTTAATTTTTATTACAAACTTGGTCTAAAATTTAAACTTTTGACCAAG